TGCGTGTAGGATGAAGAGTATGATGAAGTGAGGGTATTATAATGGGATGAGATAGACCGTGCGGTAGTTGGCTTGACGCCGGACGTTGGGTGCATGGCGTGGCTGGTCTATGTTTAATTTAAGGGGCTGGTCGATGAGGAAATTGGTTTGTTTGGTATGTACAATGGATAGGGCAGTGATAGGATGGATATATGGTGGTTGTTGGGGACTGGCACTGCTGTGGGTCTGAGTGTCCGGTGTTGGGCTAATGGTACCATGGTCTAAGAAAGGGGGTAGGACTAGATAAGTGTATACTTCTTCCTACTCCCTTTCAAGCATGTACTATTGGAATGTTGTGATGTCTTATGTGTATTGGCTGAAATGTTGAATCAATTTTGTTTTTCGCAATATCAATTTTTTTAGTTGTACATGCTTGGAAGAAACAAATAAAAAAAAAATTAAAAAAAAAGATGTGAGGAGGATGGAGGGAAGAAGAGGAGTGTTGCTGTGGAGGAGCGCGGATGTGAGCAAAACTTACCCCCTGATAAAATCCTCCCCTGGCTCATACACTGTGACCCATACAGTGCTCACAAAGGCTCTTGATGGACATACAGTGTAATGAGTTGGACAGACAGTAACTGGCAGAAAAGGTGACAATGTCAGAATCACTGACTAACCTTCAAGCAAGTCTGAGAGTGAGGGGGGAAAGTAGGAGTCAAGGACAAAACAACACCCCCACCCCCCTGAGACAGAGTCCTCTTGACTTGACCCTGGAAAAAGCTATGTAAGTATGGAGTTAATCAAAAGCGTGGTAGGATGACAGGCAGGGGGCCCTCCATGAAGTTACGTCAGGGGCCCCAGTTCCACAAAGCCTGCCATGTGGGTGTGTGTGTGTGTGTGTGTGTGTGTGTGTGTGTGTGTGTGTGTGTGGGAGGGGGATTTACACATTAAAACTTTGCGTAGTCTGTCTGCTGGTGGCAATAAACTGGGATCAGTTCCGATCACAGCAACGAGCCCACCATGATGTACATGTAATCACACCGTAAATGGTCTGTGGGTCCCACATGTCAACACACACAGCTTACAGGAAATGTGACAGTGAACGAATAAATAGATAAAGATTTACTAGTGCTACTTTCTCTACAAGACTTGTCAAAACAGTAACACAGCACAAAGATTCACACACACACACACACACACACACACACACACACACACACACACCTCACCTCTGTAATATAATAAAACTCACCTCTGTAATAATGAAGAAATCATCACCAGGTTCTCCCTGCACCACTATCTTTTCCCCATCCTCAAACTGAACAGGCTCTAGAGCATCGGCCACAGTCAGACGTTCCCACTTATCCAAGGACTCTGTTGACGGAAAACACAGTCATTTGCATTCATGAAGGCAGTAGCTGATACACAAACATGTAGAATATATTTTGCTCTAGTCCTGTGAGCTGATGGAAATTCAAACCTCAGGATAATCCAGTCATTCATCAGGGATTATTACAGTACATGGCAGGTCCCCCTGTCTCCCCTCCCTCTTATCATGAGGCCTCAGGGAGCTAATACACCTTGAAACCAACCCCTAAATTTCTGTCCTGCTGATTCTGGGGTGTGGTGACAGCGAGCTGTCATCTCTGGGGTTAATTCAAGTCTGACCATACCATAACAGAAGGATTAAGACTTTCCAGTGTGACAGCGATGTTTGTTAAGTGGCTGAGGTTGGAAGACCTAATGGTGCTGTATTCAAAATGAATATTTTTGTTAGTGTAAAATATGATTTAGTTACACTCCAGGGTTAGAAATTCTAATTGTATGGTTTTGTAATATTAAAATTAAGCTTACGCTTGCTTAAACTGAAACTAACATAATATCGAAATTAAATTAGTTTCAAAGATAAGTATCTATGAGATCTTGGAATAAACATTTTTCCCTTTTAAAACATGTAAAAAAAAAACTGACCATTTGTGAACAGGCCTGTCAAAACCTGTGAGAGGATCTATCCTTTTCAGTTTGTGTTGATCCTGAGAGCCCGTGGCGACAGCTGTCTTTCCGACTGTCCGACCACATGTACAGTGACGTGGTCAGACCGGGATATTTCTAGAAGCTGTTGGGCATTCACACAGAAACCAAAAACGCAGGCGGTCATCTCACATCTTCACTGGGAAAAATATTCCAACCAAAGGAGTTTTGAGCAACACAGATGAATTGATATCTACTCATCCTTTTTATCTCAATTCAGAAGATTACCGTTGCTTAATCTCAACAGTCTATACGCCTACAAAGTGGAACGTGGCTTATCTGCAGCAAAAACACTCCTCATCTGTAGCTTTGTCTAGATGAAAGCATGATTCAGTGTTTTAACTTGAATAAGACATGCGTTAGAGGCGTAAAACTACAGCAGAATCTTTTTGTCTGAGGCTATTGTCTCCTAACGACACAGTAAATGATACCAGTGTGTCTATTTGTGTGTATATGTTTGTGTCTGTGTGCAAATGTGTATGTACCTAGGATTAACTAAGGTGAGGTCTGGTGGTTTGGAGGTGTCCAGTGTCCCTTCTGCTGGGGCCGGGGTGTCTGCCAGCCCCAGATGGATGTCCTCTGTCTGGCTGCAAACTAAAGGCAGCAGGGCCTATAGGGGTGATCCTTAACAGCTCGGCAGGTAACATGATACACAAAAGTGCTGACTAAAGAACCTACATTTCATGCTTCGCAGAGCCTGCACCCACTTGGACCACTTTGCTACACACATACATATTACGCACACAGGGAATTTGACATTAAGATGTTGAAGGCTCTGCGTTTGTGTGTGTGTTTGAGACAAGGAACATGTTTCTTGGCCCTTCACTCTACAACATCAAGGACTTGTACCCAATTTCGTGGCTATCTCAAAAATCAAAGACAAACAAAAACACTCCCGCCTCCTACCCCTCCTCCAATTCAAAGAGGCAGAGCGGAGAAGCTGGGCAACAGAAAAAGGAATTAAAAAAAAAAAGAGTCAAAGCACCGCAAAGAGGGAGCGTTTGAATACAGGCCTTGACAAGGCTGTCAGAAAGGGAGGCACAGAAGAAAGAAGGTGAATGAAAAGAAAGCGTACCTTGCACAGACGTTCTCCTAAGACCTGAATTGAGTATATGTGTTTACTCAGCCAGCTAATAACTCTGTACAGGGGGCATGGCCTTACTCTGTACACCACACACAAACGATCAAGTGGAAGGAGATGAGATGTCAGTTCCAAATGCAACTCGTTTAGTAAGTTTGAATGAATCTCTTTCGCCATTCCTCCAAACTCAATGGCCTCTGTAGGATGGGTATTATCCGAATTCCAGTGGGAAAGCTTAACTCTCTATTTGTCAATTGTCCACACAGCGGGATTGCAGAGCGTGACCGGCTTTAGTATGAACAGTGAGAGAAGATTAGGACTGTACACACAGACTTTACTCAGCCATGGGCCCTATGTGACAGCGTGCGCCTGTGTTTATGTGGGCTAATCTAGAGTACTGTATACTGTACGGCGCACTTGGCAGATTCAACTGCCTGCACAGTAGACTCTCTGACCCGGGATTTAAAATGAATGCATAACATGACCTGCATGTGCAAGACTCTCATGCATCAGCATAGTCATACATGCAGAGAAGCCAAGGAATATAACCACAGACACCATGAAGCACATATGCAGACTTACCAAGAATGGAGACTTTGCTGAGGAACTCTTCATACATCTTTCTCTTCCTCAGTGTGCTGCCCTGAAATACAGAGGAGAAACACAAATCAAATTCTTCAAAATATTGTGATCATAATGTCTTGGTTTAAAGACAGAACTGATTTATTGCAGTTTGGTACAATAATATATAGTTTTCTCTTCGTTCACTTCTGAGAATATATATTTTAAATCAATAGCATCCACTGAAACTTACTTTAGAAAGTACATCAGCGACTCGTACAGAAGTTCTTATCTGAACAAATCTGAATACCTACTACTTTGCTGCGATGCTACTGAGAGTCTTGCACAGAATTTGCACTTCTTTGTTGTGATGAGTTCAAATAGAGTTTCTCTAAATGACAACCCATTGTCCCATACTTATATTCAAAACTTTTTCTTCTCTTGAGATAAGTATGACCATTTATTTCATCCTTCTTGTACCACACATGGTCTGTGTAGGATTTTTTTCACCTGAACACACAGATGTCATTTTAATGCAACGTTCATGTTGTCCACAGTGGTGCATGTTTCTCGTTCACTGGTCATGTGTAATAAAAGCATTTTATATGCCATGGGTCAAAATTTAAGAAAAGTGATTATTGCCAAACTACAAAATTCTAAAATATGGAAAGACTATGAATTTACAAGATCATCTCTGATTAACAGATGACCGGTCATGACGTCATACTTACAGAGATGTGTACAAGATGTGTGGTAATGTTCACTGCATGTGTGTGTGGCCCACCCCACCCACCAGGCCGGGGACTTTCCCCTGCCTGCCTCTACGATGAACATCAGGTGCTTCCTGACAAGTCTAGACCAAGAGGACCCCTTCCCTAGCTGCATATCTCCTGTTCCCCTTCCTTCATTGTACAGAACCACTCAGAGCGAGCAGGAACATAAAGAGAAAAAGAGAGAGTGAAAAGAGATGATTTTTTTTCTGCCGTGTCTGCGTTTGCATATGGGAATGATATATTGAGGCTTGGGGTGTCTTCAGTGCATAAGTGCCTGAGTCCCGCTGCTGCCTCTAATTTCATATAATTTCAAATTTTGTCGTAAAAGGGGAGAAAGTGTTCTAAAATGAGCCAACGTAAAACTCAGAATCGTAAACAACTTGATTAAAGGAATTCTAGCATGTATCGCCTCCCTCCTGGATAAATGATTCGAGCGCGAGTTTCTGTAAGTATGTGTATGCAGGCAGGCCGTGTGAGTGTGTGTGTGGTGCGTGCAGTCTGTTTTTAGTTTTGCCACTTATGTTTCGCTGCTGTCTCTGCATAGACAAAACTTCATGCTCATTAAGCAATCAAATACACATGTATACTCTACCTCTAGCACAATCTCGCACGCACCTACAAATGCACACACAAGCATGCACTCCATCATTCGCAGAGATGCTGGCTGCTGAGCTTAAAGGCTTACCATGCACACATAACATTATGTTACACAGCAGGTCTGATTTATGTGACCGGAAGGAGGAGGGCTGGATGGGATGTCAGCGCTCAGGCAGAGATGAAATGCAAATGATACTTTTCTAAATTTCTGTTATCATTTATTTTGCCAGTGCCCCTTTTTTTAAAATCTGTATCTATTCTTGTTCTTCCTGTCTACTTGGGAGGGCCTGAGCACGTGTTTCATGTACAAAACTCCCCTACTCTTGTTGGTTCTAATGAGTTAGCTCCTCCTGTGGTTAAAGATGAACCAGCCTCTGTGTCTGCTTGCCATCTTTGAGGTAAAGTCATCAAAGAGTTGAGGTGTGGAGTGAAGCCAGACTTAACCAACTGCGCCATACGCCCCATCCTCATTACCTTCATCTTTGTCCAGTGTGAAACACAGAACCCTCCACATTTCTTGACATCATTCTTTCCTGTCTCCTTTCGTCTTGTTTGTTGACAGTGACGTGTTAGTTTGTTAATGGCTTTGTCTGTAGTTGTGTGTGTTTAAATACCAAGATGACACAAGAAGATGGGTATTGTATGACTGGTGACCACACAAAAGAGTGTATTTATCACAGGGAATGATATCACTGTACACTGTTTACTAAATACACTCCTGGATAAGAAGGAGAGGAGCCAGTTTTGTACAGCTGCCTTGGCAGATGTTATCAACATGGTCAGTGGTTAAAACTGCTTCAAGATCAGTTCTGGTATTGCTGATTATGCCATGTGTAAGTGCCTTTTTTTTAACAACTGGGTGGTATAAGATGCAGGTTAAATAGAAAATCTTCTACAGTGATGTCTTGGAGGCACATGCATAGCTTAGTGTACAGGTGCTCTAGAAAAGGGCAGAAAGTAAATGTTGTTCTGCTTATCAGTTACTTTTTCAGTCCATATTAAGCAATGACGAAACATGCCCCTCTGAAATTCTGTGAGGTGACATCAACAAACTGTCCATAACCCACCAATATTAAATTTAAACAATAAAAAAGTACAGAAAATCAGGTAATGTTCACATTTAGGAAGCTGGAACATGAGAGTATTTTTAATTTTGCTTGATTAAACAACTGAAAATTTATTATAAACCCTTTTGCAGGTTTTCTAGCAATCATCTTAATCTACAAATTGAATCAGTTATGCTCTAGAACAAGTTTTATATGACAATATACTTAGCTGATGATAAACTGTCCTAATGGTTTATGAACTGGACTTACATCATCTGGAAGTCAGAAGGTGTAGAGTGGCTGAAATACAATTTGTCACCTCATTTACTTGATTTTAAACTTATAAATATTAAGCTTTTCAGTCAAATTACACTCTGCAAAGAAGCAGGGCAGGTGAGAAGCAGATGTGCAAACAATAAAACTGATGGTAGTGGCAGAACACCTTCCTGAGCTCCTAACTAGCTGCAGACACACACACACACACACACACACACACTTAGACACACAGAGAATGCTCATTGTGTTGGCCTAAGATGCTGCCAGAGTACCACACGTTATAAAAACAGCTTTACAAATCACTGACATCAATAATTAACTACAGGTTCACATAATTGAATTCTGCTTCACCCCATCTCCCCTCCTGTTGCTGCTGGAAGGGGCGAAGGAATGAGAGCTGGTGTGAGAGAGAATTATAAAAGGGAGAGAGAATCGTCTCAAAGCAAGGTTACCATGACATACTGTACCCTCGGCTCAACTATGCGCTTAAGAGGTGACATGAGTGCTCGGCAGGCCAGTGCAGACTTTTAAAACAGAAAGGTCCAAACACAGGCCTTCTCCCCTCTCTGGGGGTTCAAACTGTTTAACACAGAACAGAGATGTCATTGCTGATGAAGGCTCAGATGCACACGGCTGTTTGGAAGGTTAATTGGAGGCTATCTAATTTATTTGGAATAAGGTGTTAGAAACATTTATTTGGGCATGGACACACACACAAACACGGCAATTCGTCATTCAAAAGCACCCAAAATGTTTCTGTATAAGGGAACAGATATGACAGCTAGGGCAGAGCACCTCGTGTTTCCAGTTTAAACATTTAGACATTCTTGCTAGATAAGCTCCTGGAGCTGGAAGTGTGTGGAGAGACATTAGAGCTGACCCCCTCTCTTTTCTATTGCCCTCATTCATCCCCCTCCTCCTGTATTTTTTTTTGTTTGCCTTTCTTCATCTAGAAAAAGACCCGGAGAAACATTAAAATGGAAGGATACACTCCCGTGTGTGTGTGTGTGTATGTGTGTATATTTGAGTAATAAAAAAAATTGTTTAAGGAGTCTTAAGTGGTTGAGAAAATATTGCAAGCTATGGATGAGGAATGATAAGAGTGTAGAGCATCTACTACAGCACATTTTACTGTGTACATTTCATTTATTTTTGTATTGTGTCATGATTTACTACAATGCATATGTACAGCATTTTTCAGCCTCTTCTCTGAGACCAGGACATGCTTTCCACTGCTGCCTAACACTGTGGACTCTAAGGTAATGTCACTGCATGTGTACTTGACAACGCTTGCGTGCACAATAATTGTCGAATAGTTCCCAGTGAACATTAAATGCCATTTTGATTTGAAATGCCCATCCTTACTATTCAATAAGGTTGCAACAGTGTGATAAGACAAAGCTATAGTATGTACTGCAAGTCTGAACTTCACTCAAAGTGCATACTGTAATAGCATGAGTGTGCTGAAGTTTGTACCATCAAGATACGCCGGTAGCTGTCTCGGTCGATGCCCCACAGTTTAAGATCAGTCTTGGCTTTGACGGTGGCAGCTCTGGGGGTCCCATAGATCAGGGCCAGCTCTCCAAAACTACCTCCTTCTCCAATCCCGGTCACCCACTCCCCATTCACATACACCTGCAGACAAAGCAAGAAAGAGTGATAGACAGGGTCTTGTATAATATTAAATACTTCTTAGTAATGTAAATTATTTCTGGGTGGACTGTGAAGAATTCAGTTTTTTTTTGTCATTCCAACTTCTCTACCCATCTTAAGACACCTTTCTTAACCCTTCTCCTCAGTTTCTGGGCTGTTTGATATGCTCACCAGGCTCGCCCCTAAGCATTTGATCCGCACTAAGCCCCCAGATGAGACCTTCTAAAAAGCTTTCTAACCCTCCTATCTCTACATCCATCCCTTTAATTTTCTCTGTCTTCTCTTGTTAGAGGATGATGGAGAATGGAAAGCTCGGGTAGACTTTGAGGTCTACAACACATACATGCATTCTCACATGCTCGGTCACTTACACACACACTTACACACTCACACACACAGCTCTATTTAGGCCAGCCACTATATATCCACAGACAATACAACTTCATTGAGGCTCAGTCAGGCTGTCTCTGTCTCTGGGGCAGTTATGGTTTCACCTGACGACACACTATCCACTATTTTGTTGACTTAATAATGCAGACAGAGGACAGAGGAGGACAGAGAAGGAGGGAGGGATGGTTTATCTCTCAGGTGGCTGATGTGAATTGCCAGAATTGTTGCAAGCCATTATTCAAGGTTCAGCATAAACCACGGGGGACTTATCCTTCACTATAAACTGGGATGGCTTCAAAGAGATGCAGGGTGCTGGCTATGGTTACGTCAACCCAAGAAGAACAATTACATCACCCCTTAGTATTTTTTGTATTGCACAGTTTCCCAATCTAGCCCTGATGTATCTCCTGACCTGTTTGGTATTCCCTGTTGTACATGTGATCCCATGAGGTTTCACACATGCATTCATGCTCCTGCTCAGATAGAGCCGTTTTCTTTGCTTAAACAATAAGCATTAAATCCTAACTGGATCAGGTTTGCAAGAGCAAATCTGGAGTAAAGACTCCAGAAAAGGTGGTAACATAATGACTGAAACTGGAAACACATGAAGGCTACTGTAGTGAGTCAGCAGTGTGGAGAAAGTCAAATGGAGTTCATGATGGAAAAGACTGAAACAAGTCCTGCTGCCTCACAGTTGTCACTGAATTTTCCATTTGCAAGCACCTACTGTATGGCAGACTGTGGGTGCCTGATTAAAAAGCAACAAAGAAATACTGAAAGGTAAAGAAGCAGGCAGTATCAATGTATAGTTCTCTCTGTAGTTAGCTGCAGTGTGTTCTCCTGTGAGTGTGTATGTGACAGGGTCTGTCACTGTTGTCTATTTGGCAGCAATTGTTTTATTTCATTCCCAAATGGCAAATCTGCTCTAAAAATAAAACATAATTCATTAAACTAAACTAAATAAGACCAATCAAAACACTTGGATTATGTTAAAAATCCTTCAGTGAATTATCACCAGACATTTGCTCACAGAATGCCAGATACAATCATCTGTGATTAGAAGACACTCAATATTTAATTAAAAATAGCATTTTAATCCAATAAGATCATCTCAGATTTTGGAATGAAAGTTTTAATTTCTTTTGAGGTGCACTCACATACTTTAAATACCAAAGGCCAAAGTTTGTAAGTGAAAACATTTGTGTGCAGACATGGGGGAGTGTTTACATCAGTGGCAGGGGTTGTCATGTTACAGGCAGTTTAGAGAATACTCACAGATTTACACCCCTGTCTAATGAGAGGCATCTCCACATTTTAATGACCTTGGCACTGAGCTTAAAGAAGTTTAGTGCCTAGGCTGTGACTGGGAGGCAGCAGCTGTGTGGAGATACAGGGTTGGTTGGTGGGATGAGGTAAAGAAGACACATATCAGCAGGTAGGGGGTGAGGCTGAGGATAGGGGTCTTCATCTAGCTTGGGTGCTGACTGACAGGGTGCTGGTTGTAGGAACAAATGTCTAAGACAGAGAGACTTTCAAGTCCTGGCCCAGGGCAGACTACCTCCAGTTCAACACATCGGAGGAAACAATAAAAACAGGCAGTGATGCTGCAGCTGAGACTGAGCACCAGAGCAACAGTGGAGTGAATATAAAGTTGGGACAGAGGTGATATTGCTGAAGTGCAAAGATCAAATTACAGCCTCGAAAAATTGCTAATGAAAGCAACTTAGTTCCAGCTTGCAGTCTGACTTAAATAAAAGAGCTGTAAGGATCAACTTGTGATAAAAGGACAGGCTGCAACTTACACCCAACTAAACCAAGCGGTTTCAACATGCTGCCATTGAAAAGAGACAAGCCACAGGCGGTTAAGATTAGCAGTGAAAACAAAACAATATTTCCCACTAAAAAGCCTCTATTGTGAGACTAAGGTTATCATACACAATATTAAATGTTACGCAAGACCTTACACTGAAGACAGCTGAGGCACAGAGAAAAATATAATCATGTCAGGAAAAAGAAGAGAATATCTTGCAGACTGTATGATAGTGCCCCCACTTTATTACAGTGAGCAGGCAAAATTTTATCAGTGCTGATGAACTTTTGACCTTACTAGTCGATTCATCACATTTTACAAGACGAAACAGTGCGAGTCAGTGCTAGAACGTTTGGTCAGAGCTGGCTCTGTCTACAAGGCACCATCTTTACTGACAATATTTATACACTTCCTTCTCTCTGCGTCCCAGGTGGGCCGGCTATGTCGGCACGGCCGACCAGATTTTCCAACCTGCTTCTCTCCTCTTATCCACTGTGTCTATGCTCACCGCAGTAAGCTGATAAGGTCACTTCCTGTTTAACTTTCCATCAGCTCCTGTTTTATCTCTCCACTTAGGTATATCACTCTGTGTCAGGCTCGCAAAGACAAAAGATGTCCTCAGCCTTGCTGCCTTCACCGAGGGCTGGACTCTATAGCGCTATGTTCAGATTGTCATCGGAGTGGAACCGAACGTTGAAGAGAACCAAACATAGCGGAAAACCAATACAACCTGTTCATTGTTAGTGGGAAACATTGTCTCAACTGAGTGGAAAAGGCTGGGTCTTCCCCCTGAGTCCAAATCCTTCTTATGGCCAACGCTTGCAAACAGGTGAATAAATGCTAATACAGTGCATACAGGAGTCCCCTTACTACTTGGAATGGTGTGCTTTAATGCATTTCACTGAAAATAGGAGAAACTGCTCTAAAGAGAAAATGAATGAGTGTTTTTGTTTGTGCGCTGCCATGTAGGCCACTTACGTCCACTTCACCTTGGTCAATCACATAGAAGTTGTCTCCTTCATCGCCTGGAGGGGAGAGAAGAGAAGAAACAGGAGTTTGTGAAGAGAGAGAGCAGATTAAATTCAGGAAAAACACCTGGCTTTGAACCAAAAGGAAAACGCACTCTTCCTTTTACTTCTACCTCCAGCTTAAGTTCACAGGTGGATTTTTAAACCATTAAACCAAAGTGGGGAACAGCTCTGTGCTTTAAGAGTTTAAAATCCTCTGTCAAACAGCTGGATCACAGCTTTCTCCGAGCCAGAGAAAAATACATTTAGAACTTAGGGTTTGAATATCCCAAAACATACACAATAAGAGATGCCTTTTCTCACACTCTACTCAGCTGACAAATTCCCTCCTTTAAAAAAAAAGGTTCAATTTCTTGCTTTGTGATCATTTTTCTTTGAATCTTTATAAAGTGAAGGCCTCAACAAGCTTCAGAGCAGACCCGGTGTCAACAATGCTGCTGCCTCCTCCAGAACACATATTTCACCAGGCCTGCCAATATAGTGTATTAGTGAAATAAGGACCTTGCCAAAAGAAAGTTGCAGCAACAGCTGTGCTCATTGCTGCTGGTTGTATGGCTTAATGGTGGAAACTGAAACAGAGATGCCTAAGCATGGAGGGATTAAACCACTCACTATTAGGGAAAATGTTAAAGGAGCAGTTTCAATTTAGGAAATTCACTTTCTTGCTAAGACTTAGATGAGAAGATCAATACCACTATACCAGTAAAAATACAGCTGGAGGCAGCAGATGGCTAGGTTAGCCTAACAAAGACAAAACAAACTAATCTGTACTAAGAACACTGTGTAAACTGAGTTTGCCATCTACAGAAGTTCTGTAGCTACTGGAGTATATCTTGACAAGCATTAACTTACTGAAATCTCAACTGGTCACCTGGCAACAGTTCCCAAAATGTAAAACATTTAAGTTCCTTTAAGTTCAGCCTAAGGCTTGCGCCAACAGAAAAGGCATGTCAGACTCTGAAGGGTTGATTCTCTGGGTGGAGGGAATTTAAGAGATCAAAGATGCAACTTGATGCTGCCCAACAAGAGGACATTTCATTAATAACAATACAGAAATCCAGTGGGCACTATTTCCACTTTTGTCTTTCCTCTCACTGGCTATATCAGCTACAACTAACTGATGATGGGTAGCTGTTATTTGTGCAAGGCTTGCAACTCAAAATGCTTTCTGTTCTGTCCACTGGATCCCAGGAGCATGCTGTGCTCTAAAAGTGAACCCTAATCGTTAAAGCAAGCAACTAGATCTGGGAGGCTGATGCCTGGTAAAAGCACCTAGTCAAGAGATAAGATTGAAAAATGACGTGTCTTCCTTTAATTATTCTCTGTTACATAGGACTCAGGGGAAAATATTAAAGAACTACACACATGAGCACTTCTCTGGAGCTTCTGCAAAATGCATCTCCATTCAAAGTGGGTAATGATGCATAAGGATGCATGGGACAAGTAAGCACTTTGGTGGTACCAAGTCAGAGTGTGCATGCCTGTGTATGTGTGTGTCCACCTGAAGAGTTGAATGGCTGAGAGAACCCTGTGTGTAAAGTTCACAGGAGTTCACACGGCTAATTAATACTGAGTGGAGAGTGCTCATTAATCATAAGGCTCTATTTGTCACACAAAACGCTCCTTGTCTGCCTGATGGTGTGTTCTAGTGGAGACCCCGGACACACACACAACCTGCTGCAACCTGGCCCTTTGCTATCTCGCCCTCTCTGTCTCTGCCGCTCTCTCTCTTTCATCTCATCTCTCTCTCTTTCAATTCCCTCTCGCTCTGTCTATCTTTTCTTTCTACTCTTCCTGTCTTTTATCACTTTGGTTCTCAAGCCTTTGTTTTGTGCCCTTCCAATCCCCCTGTGCCTGAGAGCGCAGGCAAATATTTGACTGGAGCATGCACAAACACATAGACACACACACATATGTAGACTGGTGTACTCAGTATGGCCTCATTTCAACACAAGATAATCGTCATATACTCTGCTGGAAAAAAAAAAGGGGGGGGGGGG